CCGATTCTGTGTCTCCCTATCTCTCTGCCCCTCCCCCGTTCATGCTCTGTCTCTCTCTGTCCAAAAAATAAATAAACGTTGAAAAAAAAATTAAAAAAAAAAAAAGAATTATAGTGTGTCGTATTTCAAGGGTAAAGACACGGTTCTTCTAAGCGCTGCTTGCCAACAGGCTCAAGCTGTAGAGAATGTTAGAGCTGGGGGAGGAGCGGTAGACATGACGGATGTGACTGAGGTGACTCAGGTAGCTCGGACACTCCTACTGGAATTGGATGAGGCGGGAGGAAGGGACAGCCTGCTGAGAAATGACACACTAGGGTTCCTACGTCCATCTGATTTGAGACGTTCCTGCACCAGTTTTGGATTTGGTTTTACTGACTTTTTGATGTCACTAATCAATTTTAGGGGATCCTGCGACATTCTTACAGGACAACTGAAAACACATTGTATTTCTTTTTCATTGACACATTCATGCCCAAGTGATACGAGCTCTTTAAAAAACCAGAAAGGCATAAATGATCAAATTTGAACATGGCCTCTACTTTCCAAGGTTAAAAAACATGCAGCACACTTGGCTGTTGTACAAATCCAAACGTGGATAATGTACAAACAGGAAACTCAAATGAAAGAGTAGCCTGCAAACAGTGAGGCTAAGATGATGTTGATCATGAAGGCAGCCAAAGCAGAGCAACACTGACAAGTAAGCCCTCTCGTACACTGATGTGTTGTGTTCACATATTCTCAGCACTCTGGGACTAATTCTGCCTGATATCTTCTTTAGGCACAAGATTCAAATTCCAGGAAAACTATAGTTTTGTCTAAAATACTCCGGTAAATGATCCAGCTGCGTATCTGGCTGTGTAAAATGGGCTTGCCATCCGATTTGGATTTTTATTAGTAGATATCCAGATAACATAAATCTTCCGGGGTCTGACATTTTCAGTGTCCCCTGCTTTTCAATAGCCCAAACACCAAAAATTCCTGACCTTCAAGCCTAAATTCCTCCATCGCTGGGCCTTCCTATCTCCACATTCTCACACTTTCTACTGATGTGCATGTTTTGCAAGGATCACACTGTGAAGCCCTTCATAGATGGGCAAATGTGGTTTTCAATTTGGCCTAAATCAGTTGGTTTAATTTCCACAGTTATATTGTAAGTTCCTCAAGGCCGGGGACCGTGTCCTATTATTTTGTGGCCCTTGGAGCCTGACTCAGCACTGAGTACATAGGAAGTGTTCAAAGGACCCAGGGAACTATGCTGTAGGCAGACATGGAAATAATCCACAACTTCTGTGCATTTGCACCAACTCACTGAGCAAAAGTAAATTGAACTTTTATTAGATGGGAAGGTCATACCAAGCAACAAGTAGTGCTTGCTTCTAAGATCCTGCTTTTTCAGAGATGTCTATTAATGGGGCATTTGAATAATTGCAAGAAAAAGTAATAAAAAAGAGATCCATGCCTCACAGTTTCTTTTTAGCCCTCAAAGGCTAAAACACAAAAATGTGGCTACTCTCATGGATATTATAATGTGGAAAGGCAACTTACATCATAAAAGAATATATAAGTTTGAGGACTACTATGGGTCAATAGGGGGAAACACTCACGTTGAAATTTAGAAATTTAAGTCAAGGAATGGTAGCAGGTAATTTATGAATCATTTGGGTTTTTTTTAAACTAATATATATTATATATATTATAAAAAATATATATATATATAATATATATAATATATATTATCTCATTGAATTCTTTTTTTCAGGAATAGTTTTTCCAATCTGATATTAGAATTCTAGGTTCTTTCCCTCTCTCTCTCTCTCTCTCTCTCTCTCTCTCTCTCCCTCTCCCTTATATATATTTCTATAGCACTGTCATTTTAAGAAGTCACTTGAATTCTCTGTACCATATTTTCCCAAGTGTTAAGTAGGGATAATGTGATCCTCCCAGGTTGCTGCTTCATAATTCAATTTTATTTCATACATAGTCAACACCCATTTTGTTCCAGGCACTGTGCTGTCAGGAAATAGAGATAATACACCAGTCTTGGCCCCAAGGAACACATATTAAAGACTGACAAATATGAGCAAACACATTTGTGCATGGAGATGGGTAAGGAGACATCTACATATTAAGAGTGAGGGGAAGGATGATCATTTCGGGGCCAGCAGAGGGCAAAGAGCACTCTCTGGGAGCAGTCATAATTAAGTTGGGTTTTAAAAGATAATTAAGAGTCTCTCAGCAACCTACGAGGGAAGAGCATTCCAGACAGAGGGAAGAACATGTCCTTGAGAGCCTCATGGTCCAAACAAGGAAAGCAGTTAGATACATAGGGTTCTGGTGAGGATCAAATACGATCATACATGTCAAAGAGCTCTGAAAATTTTACCTTGTTTTACAAAAGTCAAGAGCTTTTTTTTCTTTGAATGTTACCAGCATTTTTTAAATCACAAAAATAAGCCAAACATGAATAAGCACCAGCCAAGCAATACTTGACTAGTTGTTCCCCATGGAACATTATGGTGCACAAAAGCATGGCATTATTTAGGGGGCATGACTCTGGGACCATCATTCACTGGAATTCCTAGGTGATTGTTATTTTGGCCTAAGACCCCCTTTCTGGGGCTGTCGTTGAGAGCAGACACAGACTTCTCACATATCCCCACCATCCACCTGTGCTCCTGTCGGAAGCTCTAAGGGCAATTTGTTAATCTCAAATCAGAAAATGTACAGTTTTCACCAAATGTGGGTTATTCTGCTGGGTACTGCAGCAATTGTTGCTTCATTTGCCTACTTGAAGCCCTGAAAACAGTGATGAATGCAGGTTACACACCAAAACAGTTGACATGGAGTATTCATTTTTGTTGTCCAAGTGACAGAGCCCATCGTTAGGAATGACGATGCCTGCCAGTTTGCTGTCCATTCCAAAATGAGAATCAGCATCACTCACAAAGACCAGGAGATGGAGGGAGTCATTCCGCCAGCCAATTTTTTCCTACAGTGAGAAAGAAATATTTGTGTTGTACGGGATAGAGGCAGGCATTTATTGAGAGTGGATCAATTATGATTGGACATATTAAGATCATAAAAACTATAATCCTAATCCATCTATTTTGGCCCTTTTCATCTCTTGTGAGTTGATACTATTAATGAATTAAAAATATGAAACTCTATGGCATTTGATTTTTCTTGGATAACACTTTTAGATGATTTATGCTTCAGAAAAAAACCGTTCCACTATAATCACTATCCAGTTGATCTTGACTTTTACATAGTTAATTATTTTTACTGTCCAGCTTTCAATTTACCAGAAAAATGAGGAGAGGGAATGAGGGAGGTCATAGATCATTCCAAACCCAAGTCTAAGCAAAACTAGTAAGAATGCAATACACAGTGGACTTAAAGTATGCCTGTTTTATTAAAATGTCACCCAACGTTTAGGCACATTTTTCTTTTTCTACTGATACCATCCAAAAATTATAAATGTAACACAAATAAAAGAATTTTTTTTTCAAAATCAATCCCCAGCATATGGCTTTTTAAGATGATCTGTTGTCTGTTTCTTAGCAGAGCTCCCCGCTTTAATTGATATTATTCCAGGAACTAGCGGGACAAAAGCTCATACTGGCAGCGCCATCCCACCTGGCCCCTTTTCCCTTTTTCCCTTAATACCTTGGCTCCTCCACCTTCCAGAACCTTCAGCCCTGTCTGTTTCTTGGTATTTTCCAGGAAGACCTGTCATCTGGACAGGGGAATCATTCCCTTGGATACCTGTCTGATTGTCAAGGAGGGGCAATGCCCCTGCATTGTTGTAGGGACAGTGTAGCTTCTGGTACTTATTTTGTTGGCTCAAAACAATAGATGTCTAATCTTATGTAGAACTTTATACTGATTAGGGCATTTTTATTTTTCATTAATTTCTGCCTGTGATTTTTATTTTTACCATGGTTTATTCAAGAACAAATCTGATCTTGATCTTTGAAAATTGATCATACCTAACTATTGTTTTAACCAATTTTTCCCAACACTACTATAATTTTATTAGATTATTTGAATATCAGGCATAAAAAAAGTGTCCATTTCAACATTAATAAATTACAAATTTTTGGAAATTTTTTGTTTTAAGAAACATAGAAATATGGCAGTTAAGGGAAAGATGGCTAAGCTTTTCAGAATAGATTTGCTAATAAGAGATGCAATTTAGGTTACCCCTCAGCATACCTTACACACAGCAGCTTGCATAATTGCATCAAATCCACCTTCTGGTGTATCAATATTAGCAGAAATTTTCTGATTCTTCACAATTTCATTGAATCTTTCAGCATCATTTGTTAATGGCAGAATGTGCTTGAATCCAAATGTAGGTAAGCAGAAGTATGGAATACTACTGCAAAAGTAAGATGTGAAAATGTTCTTGATGAATTATGATACAGCACACAATTAATGGATCTAGCAGCCTAGCAACTTCATCTTATATCAAGATGAATTTTCCTCAAGTACCTGACTCTGTAACTTGATTATGAATTTCCCCGTTAAGGTTGTTCATGATCTCCCACCTACCCCTTCCAAACTGACCCTATTAGCTCGCACTTAGAGCTTACTGTGTATTTTACTCTGATTCAAGCTCAGATAACAGATAATCAGGTCAGACTCCCCACTCCTGTGTGTGTGTGTGTGTGTGTGTGTGTGTGTGTGTGTGTGTGTGTAATCACTACCTTCCAGTGCTTCTCAACCAAAATCTACCATTAAGCTTGCGTGATGACAACAATTCCTTTGTATTCTGCTAGCTTAAGCTATTATCAAGTATGAGTCACCCTATAGCAAGACTGAGAGATACCTGTCTTCTTTCTTCTCTGCTCCTTCCTGTACTCCAAACCCTACCTGCCAAGGGCCCAAAAGTCAGTGCAGGACTCTTGGTTCTCTAGCTTGATTCTGTTATGACTGAACAGACTGTTGCATACCTGGCTAGGAATAAGACTACCACTTAAAATAGTTGACACATGGGAGAAATGCCATGTTAAGAGGAGATCTGCCCCAAAGATATTGCAGTTGAACAGAAAAGTTGATCATGAACTCAGCCACATCTTATTCTAAAAACCAGTTAGTAAGACCTTGGACAAGTTACTCAACCCTTATGAGATTTGATTTTCATTTGTAAAATGGAGATAATAGTATACAGTAGAGGCTTTCTAAGGATGGTCCTTGAACCAGCAGCATGAGCATCACATGGGAACTTGTTATAAATGCAAAATCTGGGATCCTATTCCAGACCTACTGAGTGAGATATGTGAGGAGTGGGCTCAGTGATGCATTCATATCTTCCTGACGCATTCTGATGTTTGAGAAACACTTGTATAGAAGTATGGAAACAGAAGAGAGTAGTCCACAGTGAGGTTGTGCTATGCTACCTGGGGAGAGCTGGTTGATTCTTTTGAGAATAGTTTTTTGGTTCAGTAGCCAAAACTTTGTGTGTCACTGGCACACAAAGAACTGGAGCATCCTTCAGGGTCAGGGTCCTGTTCACCAAGTTCATCTGCCCGAGTCAGTCTTCGTTATTCACAGAATCCATATCTGCGAATTCACCTACTTACTAAAATTTATTTGTAACCCCGAAATCAATACTTTTAGTACATTCTGAGTCATTTATATACACACACAGAAGGGAAAAAAAAAATTGAGTCACCTGATTCACATGTTCCCAGCTGAGGTCAAACAAGGCTCTGTGTTCTTACTTCACCTCTCATACTGTAAACAAGTGTCCTTTTTGTCATCTATTTGGTTTCCTTTTCCTTTTTTTTTTTCATTTGTGTGCTTTTTGTTGATGATTTTGCTGTTTAGAATGGTCCTGCAGAGTAGTGCTGAAGTGTTGTGTAGTGTTCCTAAGTGCAAGAAGGCTGTGATGTGCCTTATAGAGAAAATATGTGTGTTAGATAAGTTTATTCTGGCATGAGTTATAGTGTTGTTGGTTGTGAGTGCAAAGCTAATGAATCAACAATATATATTAAATAAGGTGTCTTTAAACAGAAAGACACAGAAAATAAAGTTATGTATTGATCAGTTGGAAAAAAAAAAAAAAAAGTCCAGAGGCTTGCATGAGCCTAATCCTGTATTTTTTTCTAGGAGCAATGATTTAGCATTAGCTAAGTAAGTATTTGAGGATACTTTATAGAGCAAGACTCCCATGAGTAATGAGAATCAACTATACAAATCAGAATGATTGTGGATGCACTCACACTGAGAGATGGGGCTCTGCTGGGACCAAAATGCTAGTATCTGCAAAGGTAGCAATTTTTTTTTTTCCCTGTCAGTAGACTTTAATGGAAAGCAGATCATAATCCAATATGTCCTCATGCTTTAGAACAAGGGGAGTTGGATGACCCCAGCAGTCTGAGATGTCCTAAGACAGCCATCTCCAGAATGGATGCTCTTGGTCATATCTGGCTCCTCCCTCACCTGTGGTTGGCTTCCTCAGCTAACAAAGTTTAGGACGTTCTGATAGTCAACGGGACTAGAAACTCTGGAAGGGCCTTGGTTAAGGCTCTTGGGTGCATGTGGCCCATACTTGCCTCTGGAACCACTCTTTCTTCACATTCCCTAACCTCCCATGAGCAAACCTACAGGCCTGTTCATTCTTTCAGCTCTGTCGAGATACCTGGTCTGGTGGGCCCAGGAAGCCAGCCTACAGTTTACAGGGAACTTTCTGATTTTCTTTCTGACTCATTATATTTCACTTTAATTCTCAGAAGGCAATCGTTTTCTCTTATTTTCAATATCTTGCATCAGCTTTCATTGAAGCTCTGAAGTGCTGACCACAGATAGTATCTACTTAGTAAGATTGTTGTAAGGCTTGAATGAGCTAAACTATGCAAAGAACACAGCACAATGAGCTTTTCGGTTAAGTGCTTGCTAAACCTTAATGTCATTTTTTTTACCTAAATCACTTTTACACAAAGTCTAGCACAGACTTGACAACAGATCACAGATTTGGCCAATGGCATCTCAAGAATTGTATGTTTTTTACTGATCAAATATTAATACAGGTTCACTGAAGAAAATTTGAGTTAATATAAAGGTATAAAGAAGAAAATAAAAACATAAATGTTAAGTTTTGAGATATATCACAGTTTATTTGATAATCTATTAATAAAATTTTATTTCATAAATCTTTCCATAATTAGATAATGTTGTGATCCTTTCGCATACACCTTTGCAGGCTATGCTGTATCTCTGCTGAGAATTGACTCCAGAGAAATTGCTGGGTTACTTTTCAATCCATACTAGCAAATGTCTTTCCAAAAAGTTTGTATCAGTTTCATCGTTATAAACAAAACAAAACAAAGCAAAACAAAACAAAAATATACCAGTTGATTAGTTAAAAATGGCATCTTAATTTAAGGTTTAATTTCTATTTTATTGCTACTAAGACTGAGCACTTGTTCATATTTATGGACAGTTTGTATTTCTTCTTTTGCCAATTGCCAGCTTACATCCTTTGCTCATTTTCTTATTGGGGTATTTTTTTATTTTCTAACTAAATTTTAAGAACCATTTCCCTTAAAAATATTAACCTTTTGCCTTTGTGGTTTGTATTTTAATTTTGTGTATGCTGTTTTTGGATATATACCTTAAAACTTTATGTAGTCAGGTTTGTTTTCAACCTTCAAATATGAAATGTATTTTAAAGAGTTATATGAGGAAGATGTTTAATTCTTTTTTTCAAATCGTTACCTATGAAATGACAATAATTTATCATTTGTTCTAATTGCTCCAATAGCATTTAACTTAGTTGTGTGCTGGAAGAAAATGCATTTGATTTAGAATAAAAAGACTGAGAGGTGATCTATCGTTGGGCAAGTTACTTCACACTGCTGGGCCTCAGTATCTTCATCTGTAAAATGAGACTGGTGTACCTACTTGACGAAGTTCTTGTGGAGGTTACACGAGATAAAAAGTATGCAACTATGTGAGGTGCACCACTGTCCCTATGAACTAAGTATTCTTGAAAATTGTTAGTTTAACCTTTTATTTGGGGCTGCTTGCTCACACTGTACAAAAGTGACATTTGAACATCTTCTGAAACCAAAGAAACTAGCATTCCTATCTTTTTGTAAGAAATGTACATCTTTGTTGGTAAGAATTGCTAGGCAGATCTTACTAGAATGCATGCTTTTGGAAAATGGAATGAAATTCAGTAAACACACATGTGTGCTGGGAGACCGAGGTAGCTAAAGCAAAGCAGAATGTCAGGCTTGGGTCATGCCAGGAAATTTTGATTAGAGACTCCCCCTGTTTTGGTCAGAGTCTTTCCTCTAACGAATGCTCATATTGGGCTGTTATTTTCTTGGCATAGCAATTGAAGGAAGTAGGTACTCATTACCAAATAATTTTATTTTGAGTCCCTAGATAACAATAGATTTTCATTTAAAACGAAGAATAAGGGCACCTGGCCGGCTAAGTTGGTTAAGCATCTGACTTAATTTCGGCTCAGGTCGTTATCTCACAGTTGGTGAGATCAAGTCCTGCATCCGTCTCTGTGCTGACAGCAGCAAGCCTGCTTGAGATTCTCTCTCTCCCTCTCTCTCTCTGCTCTCCACCCTGCCCCCCGCTTGTGCTCTCTCTCTTTCAAAATAAATAAATTAAAAAAATAAACTGCAGAATTATTGTGAAACACAATATACAAAAATACTATCTACATTTTTTGTTAGACTTTTAAATAAATGTACACAAACTAAGATTACAATGATACATACCAAATAGCTAACACCATCGTTTTGAGTGGAATTAGAAATAATTTCCATTTTCCTCTTTTTGTCTGTATTCTCACATGGGCTAGTTATTGCCTTTGCAATAAGAAACTGTTCTGTACACTCATATGTGTTTGTGTGTGTGTACATGTAAGAAATCTAAGCATTTCATGGTTCTACTTCCTCTTTTGCAAAACTATAATGAATACCTCATTGTTGGCATCATATTAAAAAAACCCACAAAACAAAACATAGCACATGTGGAATGATGTTAAAAAAGTAATCTCTCAATATGTTTGATAGAGGGAGAAAATTTGACCTTTGTGCTATTAAATATTTTAAAATGCGTATTACAACCTATCTACAGATATGAAAATGGGGAAAATAAATTTTTGTTAGTGTATCTTAAACAATAGCATAAGGAAAACTTCTTTAAAAACTGTAAGCCACTTGAGCATTCTTTACATGGTGTAATAAAATTTTTTAGTGACCCTATATCCAAGGAAGATAAAGAAAGAAACTACTCCTAAAAGCATTAGAGATTAGATTAAACAGGTTTTAAAAGTGTGGTGCACAGACCCACATAGGTCCCTGAGACATTTTCAGAGAGGCCATCGGGTCGAACTATTTTCTGATAATAATA